ATGCTCACAATTTACAAGGCAATTCTCAGCTGGCTCTGCTGCTGCTTCAATTCTAGTTTCTGTTCCTTCTCGACTCTTTCGACTGATTGGCTGCCCGCCCACGCGTTCGCACTAAGCGCAATGCAAATTGGCTGCACGACCACGCCCACGCGCTAGCGCCCAAGTATTTTATATGCTCGTTTTCTACTGCTTTGTTGCTTTTTTGTGGAGTGCATTGCCAATGCCATTCGTAATTGCAAATGAAAATAAAGTGAATTTTATAGCATTTCCTGTTGGCATTCATTCGGCCAGCGGCTGGTTTTTGGGCTCCTGCCTTGAGTTCAGGATTATTGGGAGGAGGGCAAGAGAACAGCTCTGACCAGATATGGGTGTTCGTGATTGTGACTGTTGTTGTTGGGCTGCTGGGAATTCGGGTGCGTTGAACTGCAACAGCAACAGCAGCAGCAGCGGGCGCAGCAGCGGCAGCAGCAGCGGGAGCAGCAGCGGGAGCAGCAGCGGGAGCAACAGCGTCTGCATCCACATCAACAACTGCCACAAATTCGGATTTTGCGTTTCGGGATTTCTCCTCCTTTTGTTGTTGTTGTTATTGTTGTGAATTATTCATGTTGTCTTTTGGAATTGGTTAAAGCGAGGAAGAACTCGGCCCAAATTGTAGCTAGCGTGCCAGTGAGTGGGAGTGAGAGAACAAACATTGGTTGTGTTGTTTCTCTTACTCTCTTCCTTTTTTTTTTTTTTTGTTTTTGGATAAAATGTTTGTGGCCAAACCATAAAACAAAACAGAACAGCAACAAAAACAACAGCGACATGACATGTCGAAAATGCATTCATTATTTGTCGTTGTTGTTCTTTTTTTTGTTTTTGTTGTATTGTGAATAATTTATGTGCTGCGCGCAAATTAAAATTCACATTTGCCACAAAATTCATTTAGTTTTTATTATGCACAGCTGGAGGGCAATAATAACGGCATAGCTATAGCTAAACAGAAAGTGTTAATGGCTAAGCGAAACCGTTAAGATTTTCCAATCAAGCATGAAGCCCATTGGTTAGACAAAAAGCACAGCAAAAATAAATTTAAGTTTACGATGATGCAAAATATTAATTATCAATCTGAGCAAATGGCAACTGCAAATGGAGTTTAGATAAAGTGAGATGTGATGTGATTGGAATTGTATTTATATACCATATATTGTATAAATGATGCTATTTTTATGAATGACTAAAATTTTTACGAACTTCTACTATTTTTAACGACTACCTAATTCTACCTTTTAATACTATTTTCATGAACTACTACTACTTTTATGAAAGCAACTGCATACATATTTTATTTATATATTTAATTGAATATAGATCCATTTAAGTATATCTTTCATATATCGACTCTCCATTTAGAGACCTTAAATAATACCATGAAATATGATCTCGCCTAGACAACTCAATTGCCTACATACTAATCATATGCAAAGATATAATAAAGTTATTTCATCATAAAATATAGTCTTGTGGCAGAAAGCATCCTTGCCAGATAGAKACTATATCATTATTTTATAATAATTATTATCATAATTAAGTTGAGTTTGAAACTTCAATATATGAATACAAATTGCAATAACTCCATGTGCAAACCAGTTAAATTACTATCTCATGCCGCTGCATGCGAGTTCTTTCATATTGTCGTCTGCTTGTTTGTCGTTTCGACAGGTTTCGCTCATCTATGGGTAAATACGTTTTCAGTCCATGAGGAGCACATTTTGCAAATTGCAACCTTGAACAATGTCAAAGCCACAGTCAGGTTAAACATAAACACACACACACACACGTACACAGAGATATAACTATTCATACACAAACACACAGCGACATCCGCTGGAAAACATGGCACAAACCACGACAAAGACTTCAATTCTTCGTTTGCAACTCCCTTTTTGGTTTTGCCTGCAGGGTAAGTCGCAGCACTCCTTGGCCATGTTATTTGGTTTGCACTGATTGAAAATTGACAGAAAAGGTAAAGGAATTTGGCGACACTGCCAGGTCCTTGCCAGTTGCAACTGCCAGGCAGCACAGCTCCGGCAAATTTCCGGCCCAGGCAAAGGCTATATACAGTGGCTGTAATTAGTTGACAGCCAAAGGAAAGAAATGACCTCATTCTGACTAAATGTGTCTCCACAGTCACTCTCTCTCTCTCTCCCTCTCTCTCTACTTATTTATGTACATTGTGTACACATTGCGACAGAGCCCGAAGGCAGGCAGGAGCTGTGACCATATGGAAATGTTTTATGACGACGCCGAGAACAACAGCAGCAATAGCAACAGCACAGCGCACCCTTCACGAAAATAAAAAGGGGTGTGAAATTAGAATAACATGTCACTCACATACAATACACACACACATATATACATATGTATATTATATATCGTATAACACGTAATGCGGCCAAATATGCTGGTGGCCCGCTCAAGTCTGGCCAGGATTCGCACGGGCTATGGCTGGCTAACCATTGTCACAGTTCACGGGGCCAGGCACTAAACAAAGAATTATGACCATTAAAACTAGAATGCGACGCAAAAAAAATGTATATTACTTGGGACGGGTCTAAAAGGAGCAAAATAAGAGAAACAGGAGCAAAGCACACGTTACGCTTTAGCTGCCAACACCCAGTTCTCCATCATCAATGTTGTTGTTGTTGGTTTTGTTGCTCTGTGTGTTAGTAAGATTTTTTTTAATTACCGCCTGGCCATTAATTAAGCGCGTGGGTGTCTGTGTGTGAGTGTGGCTCAAAGCCAGCCTTGTTTTTCATTAAAGCCAACCTGTGCCCAACAATTACCATTTACTTCCGCTGCCGGCCAAGCTGAATGCGTGTCAGGCTCGTGTTTGGAGAGCGAGCGAGAGTCAAGGAATTTGCTTTGTCCTTTCAATTCTTTATCATACACTGTTACAAATTTGTGAGATTAAAATAGTCATTATATTAACTATATATTCCGTTAATCTAGTTCATATATATTCCCTTCATTTCTTAATTAAGAAATATATGCAATTATTAATCAATGTCTGTCTGCTCCGTTCAGTCTCATTTCTGGTTATATATTACTCGGCTTTCAGTTTTGGACTTGTTTTGATAAAGCCAGCTCTATTGGACTGCTCGCTGACTGACACGCAATTTGCATATGTATTTTAGCTGAAAGTTCTTTGATAAAGCACAAAACCCGACAACGGGCAACGGGCCACAGCTTATCATTTTTTCATTTTGGCCCCGACTTTTCCGAACCGCTTTTCCACATTTTCGGGGATGTTCACTTTTTAAGCTGATGGCAGTGATAAATTCCAGGCACCCCAGCGAGCTTAAGGGCTGGTTTCTCTTCCATTTTTGTTGTTTTTTTTTTTTTTTTTGCCCCGTCGTATCCGGGCATTTAATTTGTTTGCATTATTTGCGCATTTTGTGTGGATTTGAGCGCTGTTGTTTATACTATATACTCGTATCCAGGCGATTTCAGATAGTAAACTGAAATTGAAATACGACAATATGCGAGACAGCTCGCCTGCCTCTGTAAAATTAATCAGTTAATGCGTTTCAGCCGGCTACACTGAGGATATTTGACCTGATTCCGTCTACCTGAGCCCGCTTCACTCTCCACACACAATAGACACTTGTTGTTGCTCTCTGGATTTTCATTTGGTTTTGTTTATGGGAATTCACTTTTGTTAAGACTCCCAAGTATTTATGCCCTGTAACATTCTTGATGAGGAATATGCAACTTGTTGATTTAGGGTATTTGGAGACTAAAGAAGTATAAGTGGAAATGGAACATGGTGTATCCCTGTATCAACTACTTCTGATTTGTAGTTTCTTCTATATTTCTATTGTATATGAAAGACAAAAAAGGAGTATTATAACTAAAAGTTGAGTTTTTATTGATTTTACACAATCATCGTCAAATAGTAGAGGGTATATGCAAGTCATTAACTCTTTGTGAATAGCTAGTTTTTAAAGTCTAGGGTAAATGCAAGTTGATCATTTAACATATTTAATGTAATTGACACTCCTCAACTTCAAAAATGAGACCCATGTGTTTATACATATTTATACATTTTGCGAATTCTTGGCTGAAAGCCCAAATATGGATCGAACGATCAGACAACTTGAAATGGGGAAGACTCATTATGAAAATGTTTAATGCTGCCAAATAAAGATAAGAAATTGCTGATAAGCAGATAAAATGATTATTGCTCAGTAATTGGTTTGGGCACATTTTGAAAGTTACGTTTTTATAGTGAAGCATTTCTATTAAACAATGCAATCAAATTTGAAATGCATATATGTAGAACATGTATATGATTAAAATTAATATTATTATTTGTATTATTTTATTAACTTTGTCTAAAGCTAAAATTCGAATTCTTTAAACATAGATTTCATATTTAAACACATGCGCCTAACTAATTAATTTAATGATGAGGAATTCATTCTCTTATTCCTCCTTCTACGTTCATTTGCTAACCGAGTCTACTTTTACTACTTCAACATTTTCTCTGCCCTAATTATCGAGTGAGTACTATAATCGTCAACGTCCTTGTCTTATCTATGTAGTGTCACGACACACCACATTAATTATCTCTAACAAAACGAAAATATATGACTACCAATATGTACGGGAAACGTATGATTCGTGATTGCAAAAAAAAAAGTACCCAATTTGCGTCAATTTGGGAAACAAAGTAGAGCCTTGTGAAATATACACTACAAATGTAAGTAATACTCATTGAGTACAAACATATGGTCAAATAGTAAAACTTATCAGCTGTTGACATAGTAAAAGCCAATTTCCTAATAGTATGCGAAAAAAAAAAAAAAACCTGCGCTGTTGCACGTCGACCAGACAAGCTGTCACCTGGTGCTATTGCTATAGCAAATTGTTAATTATGATAGGCTAACTGTACTTAGAAAATACATACATACATACATACATATATCGTAGATCTAATCAGTAATCAATTCGCTTACCTTGACTCGCTTGTGATTCGGTTGCCAGCAGCAGCAGCAGCGGCAGCACCGTCATTCCTATCCAAATCCATTTCTCATATCCAGTTGTCATTTTTCGGGCCATTTGTTTTGAAACCTTTCTTGTTGTTTTTGCTATTTCGTCGTTTTACGTTTTAATTGGAATAGTAACGGTTAAGTTGTCGTTCGCTTTCAGTTCTTGCATTTATTGCGCTGCATTTTGAGGGCCTCGGTTATCGGTTTTGGTTTCGGTTTCGCTTTCTTTCCGTTTTGTCACTTTTGCACTAACATTCTACACATTTTTCCTTTGCATCATATTCTTATTATTTCGTTGTGCTCCTTCCACATTTATTGTGTATTCGTCGAATTTTCGCGTAGTATTGTGTAAATTCATTTCATTTCGTTTTGTTTTGTTTGCTGGGTTTCGTGCGTGTTTTGCCGGCTGCAACAACAACAATTTATATTTCTTCTTTTTTTTGTGCACTTTTCTTGTTCTTTTACCAACAAAACACTCGTACACATTCAGTTACAGCAACAACAACATCAACAAAAAGTGCAGGAGCATAAGCGCCAGGCAACAACAAAAACGACATCAACAAATTGCGCACGCAGTAGCGTTGTCTCGCTCTAACTAAGGTTAGCGTCGTCTGGCCGCAGGCTAGCGTTGCGAATCGTATTTTTCAATTCATGTTTTGCATTCGTTTAATGAATTAAAACTATTGCACTTACTACACCAATACGTTATTATGCTGTAACTTTATATATTAACTTAGCCGCATAGCACTAATATATTTATTTAACAAACCGCGTTTTCTATACACTAATTGTATGCACACTACGCGCGCAACCGACCTGACACGACTAACATTGAACAGAAACTGAAGCTAAAGTGAACATTGAGCATTGAGCGAGATGCAGAATGGCCTGCCATTGGAATTGTATGAGTGGATGAGAGGCTAGAGAGAGCGCACAACATACAGACGTATTTTCATGCGCTCTGTGAGAGAATATCGATAGGCATATCGATACTTTTTGTGAGCGCAAAAAAATTAATTTACGAAATGTTTAACGGACAATATGGATATACATATGCTCAAGAGTGCGTGGTATACTATTGAATAAAAATATGATAATTAAATTTGCATGCAATTATGTTAAATTACTCATGTTTTAGACGTTTCCTATGCCTGTAGCACTCTCACTCTCTTTCTCTCTTATTTACCAACACTGCCAGGCGCCTAATTCGAATTGACGTAACAAATTAAATCGCCTTAAGCTTTAAATTGAATTCATTTAATTGATTTGTTTTGCATTGGCCTATTTGTTTGCCGTACAAATTAATTGAAAAAAAAAAAAAAAAAAACATTAAACAAGTTGGCAATGTCGCGAGTGATTCAATTAATACCAACTGCCATCTGAATAGCCATTTATTTACATGTGCCTTTTGACTTTTAGTTTCCCATTTTTTATCTTTTTTTCCACTTTGTACATATGCATAAAAAGTGCAAACATATAAAAACATATATGTATTTATGTATGTGTATTTGTTTTTTAATTTTCCGCTGACGCTTGCGGTCGGAACTTGTTTGATTGTCCAGTCCTGCCCCACCCTCTGGGCGAGTGTTAAGGGCCCCATTGTACGGCTTGTGGTCGAGAGCTCTCGTCCACGCAGGAGACTCATAAAGTTAGACAGCTAAGCTAAACCCGCAATTAAGCTTTAAAACTGAACTTAAAGATTTTGCGGCTTACAGCTGGAAGGCTGAATGATAAATGTAAAATTAAATGCACAGACATTTGCACAAATTACCCCAAAAAATGGCAGGAGACGGACGAAGGCTAGGGAAAGTGCGCTTTAAAAATTGAGTATCGCGGCAGGGGAGCAGCAGCAGGAGCAGGAGTAGGCGAGATGGACTCTCTCGAAAGTGGGTCAAGTTATGTGGACTTATCAAATTGCCAGCTATAAGATTTACAAGCTCGTCGCTAATTGCGGCGTTTTGTATGGGTTTGCCAGAAATGAAGGCAGTAGGCACGCCCACTTCTCCACCTTCAGCTGCTCATCAGTTGCCTCCTTCCCCACCTCCTGCTGTCTCTTGAAAGCCCTGCGCAATGCGAAACCACAAATTTTTGTTTTAATTAATGAAGCTGTCGTTGCTGTTTCCATCTCTCTGCCTCTCTACTCTCACTCTCTCTCTCTCTCCACACCTCTCACTCACTCTGCATCTGTCTGTTAGTTTGTGATTTGCAACGACAGCCAGCGACGTAGAAAGTATTTGCAGCCCATTTTTGAACGCCCACAAACTGTGAGAGGCACTCAGTACTCGGATAAGTTTTACACGAATGCACAAACAGCACTTGTCACATATAATTACAGCAGATATATTTTTCTTTTTCTTCTTTTTTATAAATTTGTTATATTAGTCTTATCATCATGCTTTTGATTATGCCTATCTATTGGCATTTCGTGCAGTATGTGAATGTGACAACTCACCTGATCTGTAAAAAATGTTGAATTATATATATATATATACTAATACCGTATCTTCTTCTGTTTGATAATCCTTTAATTATTGATCGTAGCTTTGGAATAACTTTTCTTCATATTTTTATGGTTATATATTAAAATTAAGTGCAGTATGTGAATGTGACAACTCACCTGATCTGTAAAAAATGTTGAATTATATATATATATATTACTAGTAACAAGAGATTTCTTTAATACTG